GGGGAAAATATCATACTTCTAAATATTGTTTATTTTGAAAAACTGTACTCCTGAAGGGAATACTTTGTTTGCTCTCAGACCTCATTTGCATATGGGTTGTGGAAATACCGATTTTGATTTCAGGGACGAATCAAAATAAACTGCAGTACATATGTAATAAGTTACAGCGTGTCGTAATTTTGCGGTATTTTATGGGGTATTTTCATCCTACCATATAAGGAAATGCGAATTCCAAATATGAAATGATTACGCACGTACGCGTCCTCTAATAATAAAAACAAACATGGCTGCCATTCGAGTTTGATCGAACTCCACACAAAGAAGTTCGCTGATTCCGCTGTAAACATTTTGGATTTCGGCATTCCCATGATGTATTTTCTTGGAAGGTAAAGTTGTATAATAATAAGGTTATCACGAGAATACCTCAAATTATGCACTCAGACAGTACGCCGCACATTGACCTCCGCTGCGCGTTTATCGATACTCCAGCTGTACTGTCTTTGTGCATACGTTGAGGTATTGTCGTAGTAACCTCATAATAATAACATATATAGGTCTCAATTTTTATAAATACAACTTTGTATGGTAAATCACTTGCAAGCCCACATGTGAGACATATATAGGTTTTAATCTTTATGTATTAACTATTTTCTTCATAAAAGAGAAGAAATTACAGTCAAACCTGTGTTACTGACAACCTGTGGGCTGCACTGTGACCTAAAGATTGAAAGTGACCTGTATACTAGTATAGGCCACGCGTATAATTTTTGCAATGATCTGATCAAATGAACCTGTGTATAAAGACCATAGTCCTGCAGATGATTGCATGTTTAGTATATAAAACTAATCTCTACACTGATTCCTTTTATTTAATCATAACAAACAAGCATATTTTTTTATTTATTTCCTATCTGCAAATTTCTGCGCCTCATCAATTGAGACATTATTGTCATTAACAATAAACTAAACCATCAACTTCATATAAAAAACACCTGACAATTTCTTTCAGTACCTTAGGAGGTCACTGCGAACAAAATTGACTGCACAATGAAATAACATCAGGGGGTTTGCATCTACTTACGACATGATGGCCAGGAATCTGTCCTAGTGTCAGGAATTTCAATGCCGCAAGGTGTTACACACCAACATTCATAACCATGGCACTGGATGGGGGAATACAATCCACTATCATCACATTTTGGAACAAAACTGTCTGACTGGAATACGGGAGCTTCATTGATTGTGTGGGTTGGAATTCTTGATTTCACATTCCAACAAGGTTCCGGAACTGTAATAAAAAAATAAACAAATAATGAGAAAATTGAAATCTAACAATACAAGAACCTTTTTCCATCCTTCCATCTCAGCCATTGACATTAAAATAGTAAATGAACAATATATGTATGTACATTTGGTTACTGGCTGTCCACTCAAACACAACCATGGCTCCTCCAGAGTTTCCTCTGGAAATATTAGAGGAAATATAGGTAATATAGATAACCCAACTTTGATTTATAAAAAATGAGAATTTACTTCAAGTTTACCCAAATCAAAAGTTTAACTGAGATTTCTAAAGATTGTGTTTCTGGTTATTAAAAAGTATTTGTTTTTGTTCTGTGCATTATCCACTTATTGTTTCCACTGGTAGATCAACAGCAATGTTAAAGTAGACAGCCAAAGACCGAATTTAAATATTTCTCAGTCTCGGAAATTGAATCCAAGGCTAATTGACGCCTGATCTGATCCCATGTCAAACATTAAATAACTGACAAATTGATATTTCATTTTATCATCCATAGCTTACATCTACTTTATTCGAATAAAAGAATGAAATGTAGAAAAAGTCAAAAAACTATTTGGTCCCAGATCTTTTCACTCATACACAGAATGCTATAAAAGAATGAGGGCGCCCTCTATAGACCATAAATGGTCTAATCAGGGAGTTAAAAAACTTTTGCCACAGATTTAATTGCTGTATTCTACCTAAGAAGATTGAATAACATGTGGCTAATTTGCATAACAATAACACATGTTAATCATATACATTGTTTCTTTACTTCTATGATAATTAAAGCGGCTGAGAAATGTGGTACACACTGAAGCTTTGGTTTATAGAGGGCTCCGCCCTGCTTCATGATTTTCTAGCAAATTTACAACAGGAGAATATAAGCATCCCAAGCATAAAACAATGATGACTTTGTGTATGGACCTCGCCCCCTAACTCAAAGCTTCTGACTTTTTTCAGCTCTCCAACGATTACCAGATTACTTATATACACTGGGAATCTGCTGACTTTTGCTAATCTACTAAGATAACTGTGTTTTCTTTTCAGAAAAGTGCAGAGAAGTCACCTTAGGTTCACAACTACCAGTAAACAGATGAGATAACAGTGCAGGGATCAATCATTCCTTGGCTGGGGTAGCAGTAACACTGTACAAGACCTTTCAACCTGAGTGATTAGTCTGGTTAAATTTGCACACCCCTCCTGTTAGAGTCATTTTATGAATCAGAGACCTCAAAAAAATGAAGAACTAGAGTCCAAAAGTTCATACTCCATTGCGCTCATGCCATTCACCCAGTGGCATCACAAATCTTGTTATCAAAGCTTTAATCTGGCTTGAGTTTTCAACTGTTCGTGAACTTGAAAAACTATGAGTACAACCAGACATCCAAAAACAATATTTGTTCATATTTTCTGAACAGAAACACTTACAAATACTGTGCTATATTTTTGGCAATGAAACAATGTACATTTCATACATATTTGTTTTGTTCTGGAAAAAAACCTTAATTGTATCAACAGTTTGAATTTTAAATTCGACACACTGATCCTATACAAGTATATTTTCTATGTAAATTTTCTTTATGCAGAGGGGGGGGGGGGGCTTTTCAGTATGTTAATAATATGAGACAAATTTAGATAGATTACATTGCAAAATTTAGATATATGGTAATTTTGAAAGCAAGTTAAAGAAGAACCGATACTATAAATATGGGCAAGACGGCCACCCCAATTAGTATGCTAATCTGAACCAAACCACTCACATCATGGCAGGAGCTCTGGCCGAAATGTGCCGCAACAAGTAAAAATCCTGAGTTTAAAATAGGGCTAATGTATGCAAAATGCTTGTCAATCACAGTTTGAGTAAGCGAGCATAATAAGCATTCATTTACTTAGTAGACAGAAGCAGAGTTAATTACCCATGAGAATGTGGTGCAATCCATGGGATTGAGCGGTTCCCCTTTAAGCTAGTTTAAAGTCTGCTAAATTTAAGTCGTGCTTTGACCTGGCCATGTGATTAAATATCTAAACACAGGTTGATGATCAATAGTTTATCGGTCACTCATCGGTCAAACGTAATCTATCTTCACACTAATCAATATAAAAGTTAAATGATTTAAAGTTCAATGAGATATAAGTAAAAGACAAGATAACAGAATTGCCATGTCAGCTACATCATTGTTTGCTCAAATACCTTGGTATCTAAGATTGAGATTAAACACTTTAAGTTTATTTTAAGGACAGCACATAAAGTACTGTAAAATACTTTATTTTAGCTGGAATTAATTTTCACTGAAAAAACTTCTTGGGTATTTTGTATGGATTTTATTTTCACTGAATCATTCCTTCAACGAAAATAGCAAAATTAATTCCAAGCGAAGATAAAGTATTTTACGGTAAGTGTTTTAGTCAGTATTCCCAACTAAGGACACACTTAGCCAACAATAGTCTTATACCCTGTACTTTTGATAAAATATTAAATAACTAACTGTTAAAATATACAATTTGACATCATGCCATGAAGTGACAATATCACGCCGTTTTTGCTAATGACATTTTCTTAGCAACAACCTTATTTTACTGAAAGCTGGACAACCACAATTCATAACATTTATTTGATCAAAGAGAGAAGGAACTATTTTTTTGTGATCTGATCTAATCGAATAAAATCTTTATTCACAATCACAGTAATTTAAGAGATCCAAAATTAAAAATCTTGTCTTTTCTTACAGAAAAAATAGTTTCAGCAAAATAGTTTATTCAATGATAAATCATACCTTAGCATTTTTTTTAGATGCCTTGTCGAACAAAATTATTCTAAAATGATATATAATTCTTAAAACTAAATAGCCCCTTTTAAAAGATTGCTCAACGTGTGTTCGAATTTCATGTAAACAATGCATTTTACACGCATTGTATACCGTACATCATTCCATATAGAACAGGGTGCGACAACCACCACTTCAACATACTTCAGCGTTTGAATGTTGTCTTCGCCAAATACAAACTGACAAATTTGTTGTAGGTAAGTAATTAACCATTGTGTTAGGTCGAGAAACTCTTAGCAGCCAGTGATGTCAAAAGGTGAGTGGAGTTGAGGTGATTTAACTGATATTTTGATTATTTATATCATGATAAAGTTGTTTTTTTAAAGAATTTTTATTGACCTTATCTTGTTTTGCCGATAACAAATCACATGTGTTATCTCCTATTTATTTGAACAATATTGGTACCAAGCAAAGCTTATCATTGTCTGTACTTCATTGCATAAGTAGAGATATGGCTGAAAAGCTGACATACTGTGTTAAGGTCGTTGCACGCAGAAAGAACTATCAAAACTTGTTCTAGTCCAGAAACTACTGGTATAAACTGCAAATAGATAAATTTAGGCCAATGAAAACTGGAGCCACGTACTACAATTTATATTTTTAACGTAACTCGATTATGATGTATTTAGTTATCAGGCTTTAAAGGGCGGTGATCGTCAGGCAGTGCGTGTTTGAATTTCGTGTAAATAAACAATGCATTTTACATGCGTTGTATACGTCGCTATGAGTCCCATATCGAACAGGACACAGCGCGACCACCGCCCTTTAATAGAATTGTACAATTCAAGCATAGCATCACATGGCGCCAATAGCGGGAAACAATCATAATATTATTTTACACTCAGTGTAACCACCATTGTTAGTTACACCAAGTAGTCGTTTCACTCATCTGGACTAAAGTTTGTACTATTTGATAATTTTCCACAAAATTTGTTCAAGCTTTTATGAAATTCACAGTACTTTCTTTTTTAGTGAGTGAAATTTTGTAAAATTATTTCAAATAACCATTTCCTAAGTCAAATAAGTATACTTACATATTGTGTCTTCCTTCGTGAGTCTTGGCTGAAAAAATAATACACATAATATGAATCATAAACATATAACTCATAATGTATAACTGGAATTACACTGTTTATTGGGATATTGATCAACAGTTAACAGTTTTTTTATTTATTGTTGGAGGAAATAAGCTAAATAATAATAAAATAAAATTTTCCACAGAGAACAAAGCATCAATTTCAAAAAGTGAACATTGTCTCGCTACTTGTTCACTCTGACATCAATCAGTATTTGATATGTAAATATGTATACTCTTTAATTTTATGATACAAGCAAAAGTAAATAAAATGGCCATCAGTACTGAACATGAACCATAAATCCTTATACAATGTATGAGGAGAAATTTGTTGAATTTTCATTTTCTTGTAAGATTCTATCTTTAATTTTATGATACAAGCAAAAGTAAATAAAATGGCCATCAGTACTGAACATGAACCATAAATCCTTATACAATGTATGAGGAGAAATTTGTTGAATTTTCATTTTCTTGTAAGATTCTATCTTTAATTTTATGATACAAGCAAAAGTAAATAAAATGGCCATCAGTACTGAACATGAACCATAAATTCTTATACAATGTACGAGGAGAAAATTGCTGAATTTTCATTTTCTTGTAAGATTCTATCTTTAATTTTATGATACAAGCAAAAGTAAATAAAATGGCCATCAGTACTGAACATGAACCATAAATCCTTATACAATGTACGAGGAGAAAATTGTTGAATTTTCATTTTCTTGTAAGATTCTATCTTTAATTTTATGATACAAGCAAAAGTAAATAAAATGGTCATCAGTACTGAACATGAACCATAAATCCTTATACAATGTACGAGGAGAAAATTGTTGAATTTTCATTTTCTTGTAAGATTCTATCTTATTGTGAAAATGAATTTGTTGTGTATGCCTAGCCTACAATATTGTCAGCTAATTGGATGTATTGTAAATTTTTAATTTCCATTGCTAAACTCTACACTAATTACTCTACTCATTCACTCCACCCCCCTCCGAATAAATTAATTGTTTATGCCCTTCTTGAGGACACCTATAGTTATCTAGAAGGGAATACACATATGATTGAGGGTGGGGATACATGGAAATTAGTCTTTCTTCAGGATTTTATGGCATTTATGAAAAAAAAAATTATTTTCACCAACTTGTGAAATTTTGTCTATTGCAAAATTAAAACAGTCTACAGTAGCTGTGTTGCAAGTAATGTTTTCTCGAAATCTGATAACAATTTACTGGCTTCCTGAAAGCAACATTGTTTGCAACACACAGCTGTATTATCAGCCAATTAGCTGATGATATCACAAGCTATGTGTACGAAACAAAGTCACAGTAAATGTTTACCAGAATCTATGGCTGGGGGAATGAAAATCAAACAATAACTATTTATGCTACCCGCTAGAAAAAACTGTCAGATTGTTTTCTAATAATAATATTAAATTCTGATAAAAACATGTATTATTGACACAGGACAAGTTAGTTCCCCATCACAGTCACTTGGAGCTGAAATTTAATAAATACTATTTTTTTTTTTTAATTTTTTTTTTTTTTTTTTTTTAAATTAGTATTCATTAATTTTCAGCCTCCAAGTGACTGTGTACCCCATCCCGAAGTTTGACTCACACACCCAACCACCTCGCCTAAATTCAAAGAGACTTTTTGAGATGATGGTCCGTAATCACAGTCAGTACAACGGCTAGCCAGTGTGACGGTAGACCCTACTTACTAGTCTTGTTTCATTCAACAAACTCGTGTAAACGGGGACAGCAGTGTTTTACAGTTACGGAAGCTACCCCCGTAGACGACATTTTGTTTCGTGTGCAGCTGTTTTAAGCATAATAATCATACACTTAGGGAGTCTAATATTAGAGGGGTACGTAGTTAGTACCACAGGGAGCCCGGGAACTATAATCAACTGTAATACGCAGTCTCTATGAGCGCGGGGGGGGGGGGGGGTTTATCGGCTGGTATCTAGTGTAAGAAATAGACCATTGCACTAATGCGAATGCTTAAGAACACCGTCGCAAACCATCCCACTATTTGCGACCATGACAAAGCTATGTTGTGGTCTGCCTTTACACTGGCGTTCTTCGGCTTCTTGAGAGTCAGCGAATTTGTCGCACCCACGTCAATGACCTTCGATCCACAACGCACTTTACTGACGGCAGACATCACGTGCAACACAGACCTCAAGGCGTCTAAGACAGACCCATTCCGCCGGGGATGTAACATCATCATCGCACCCTCACAGTCATCGGTCTGCGCCGTGCAGGCATACCAGGCGTACGAAAGCACTACATAGTTCCGTCGCTCACCTACCCGCATCCAGTTCGCCA